ATTGTACTACCTCCCGCCCTTAATATAAGACCTTGTTTGACTTTTATTTTAATCCTAAATATAAGACTTCAATATACTTTGTATGTCATATTTATGCATTTTTTTCTCAAGGTAATCCTTGTAACAATAGTAGTTTCAGCCAATACACTTGATTAGTAAGGATATTTTAAGAAAGATAACACATATTTATTATAAATAACTAACTTAACTTCTTTTCTGAATTTTCTCAAATTAGTCAACTAGCTCTTATAATTATGACCGGAGGTAGTGTATATGTTTGAGATTTATTATAGTTGTTAATTAATTACTTCATATACAATAGTCTTTACTGATTACATACATAAATACACACACACGTGTGTGTGTGTGTGTGTGTGTGTGTTAATGGACAGCGTCAAAAAGGAAAATAAGGTGAGACTTGTTATGAGTTAAGAAAACGAATCAAACAGATGGAAATAAGCGAGGTCGTCTAAATATGGAAGAACAAAATTCAGCACAAAAAAAACATGGAAGAACAAAACAAATGACTTTTGAATTTATGTTGAGTATTATTTGGTACATCAAAATTGAATACATATTAAAATAATAATAATAATTTTATTTTCACATTTTCGAATCGGACAAGCCGCAGCAGCGGGGTGCAGTTAGAAGTAGTGTTGAACGGGGTAAGAATTATGATTAAAAAAAAGCAATTTATATTATAAATAAATAAATAAATATTAATATGGTCAGAAATGTTGCAAAAGAAAAGAAAATGGTCAAGAATGAACAAAGTGAAAAGTGGGAGGGCACCGTATACGAACAAAATCCCCGGAAAGAAACAAAGCATTGGAGTCAATAATAACGAGCTACGTGCATGGCGGCACGTCGTTTTTGTACGTCGTTTACTTACTTTATTAGGTCTCTTAGCTTACTAGGATAAGAACTAGGATGAGTTTGATTTGTGACTCACTATTTATATATACCTTTAATATTTTAATTTGATTTTTTGAATTTATGAAATATTTTTTCAGTCTGATCTGATCGTAAAATTATTAGCCTCAAATGATTTTTTTTTGTGAGAACTAAATATGCTAACATTTATGAATATTTTGTCAATATTTAAAATTTAATTTGCATTTTTTAATAAAACTAATGATATAAAAATCATAAGACTAAAAAGTATGCATTTTAACCAAAAGTTGTTGACTGAGATAGTAAGCAGCTTCACCCCTGTAAGGAAGAGAACATAAATTCGAATCCCTGAGAGCGCACTGGCTGAGTGAAGCGAAGAACCCTTTGCACTCTAAGTCTCAAAAGAAAACACCCCTGATCAAATTAAAAGAAAAAATATGCACTTTATAAATGTAAAGAATCAAAAAAAGATTTTACATAAAATTAAAGAATTAAATATGCACTCTTATCTGTCATTTAGTTAGTTTCAAAGTTCCTGCACCAATGGCGGTGTGAATGAAACTTGCTCTTTTTCAAATATGAGATATAAGACCGGTAATCTATTGAAAGGACTAGTGCAAGATAACTCTCGCTGGGGTCGGGAGCTTTCCATCTGTTGGCTAAGTGTGTATTTGGGTTGTTTGGGATCAGATCACAATTAAACACCTAAAAAATACTTATTAATATAATTCAAAATAAAATTCCTCTTATATACTTCTCATATTTTATAATTTATAATTAAAAAGCTGCTTTTTTGAATATGATTTGGATCCCTTTGAAGAGAGAGTTACACAGAAGTCTCACATTTTTCACTTAAGAGATGTTAAGTCCTTGTTAAGGTTTGAGAAGAATTGATGGGTGAAATAGTATCGTACTCAGATTCAGGATGGCTGGCACCAGCTCTTTACAAAATACTTTGTGAATATTAATTTCTTCCCACCTAATCCTTTAAAGAATTGGATTTTGATGGTGGAATTGAAATCTGTATAAAAATAGCTTATTTGCTTACAAGGACATGCAAATGAAATTGGATTTTGAGATGGGACCATTCACCAACCAAACCACCTATTTATCATGTGGATATGAATATTATTTTATTTTTATTCTGGTTTTGCTGAGGATGGATTTATAATCAACACCAATTAAATATATGTAAAAGATCATCATAATTTAAAAAATGTAGTTCATTTTTTTCAAAAAAAATATTTTCAATTTAAATTTTGAAAAGAAGAAAAAGAACATAAGATATGTGGAGAATAAAAAGCCTTACAATGAATTTGAAGAAAGGAATAACAATGGGATGAGTACATTAATAAAATAAGATTATGGGCTTAAGAATTTTTATTTTCAGGTTCAATGCCCTTTTTATTTTTGAAAAATTATTTTAAATTTATTATTTATTTCATATATATATTTCGCGCTATATATTTATGAATTAAAAAAAGGAAGGAAGGTGGGTGGTCAGCGGAAGCGGCACGTGAACGACAACGCGTTCCGGCCTTACAGGGACACCATTAACTCTCCTTTCCCCTTGGTTAGATTCCCCTGGCTCGCCCGTTCACACGATTGCTTTCATTCTTCCCATCACTTATTAGATTCCTCTTTTTTATCCCTTTTCACACCTATCTTCCCCCCTTTCGCTTTCCTATATATATATATATATATATATATATATATAATTCTTGGGTTTCTTCACTTTTTATTGAAGCTCCTTGAGTTAAAATAATAAATTTGTCTTGAAAGTGTTTTGTTAGGTATAATGGATATCCTTCATTTTTAATTAGGACACTATTATTTTGCAAATTTCAAAAGTAAATTCAATATTTGACCATTGTTCGTGGTTAGTTTGACCAAAGTCTCCAACAGAGAGGCCTTGGTTCCAAAAATCATCTGTTGTTGGCAAAGGGCTGACAGTAAGTACTATCTCCTCTTTTTAATATAAGAGTTAATTGATTAATTTGATAAATTAAAAAAACCATTTAAGTGTTATTTGTAATAAATATGTATTATCTTTCGTAAAATATCTTTACTAATTAAGTGTATTGACTAAAACTATTATTATTGTCAGAACTATTTAAAAAAAAGGATAAATATGAGAGATAAGGTGAATTGAGATTTTATATTTAGGATTAAAATAAAAATCAAATAAACTCTCATGTTAAGTATTGGATCGGAGGCAGTAATGTGGAAAGAACATCTTTAAAAGGATCCCATTAAGGAATGTGTAGCGTCTTTATTTGGGGACAACTTAAATATGTGATTAGGTATTATAACAAAGCAAACTTGCTGTCATGATCCACTAAAATTCAGCACAAGTCGCTTCAATTTGCTCTCCTACCATAAATTAGCTCATGTTACCAGATCTTAAACATTAATAGCTAAAAAAAATTATGGCAATGGAAAGTTTAGGTTACTACTTGCTCTTTTAGAAAAACTCTCGAGGTCCCTTAACCCTAATCAGAATTGTTCACCTATTCATCAGTGCTAATCAAACATTCCTTTTTCACCACATTGTGCAATTTATAAGACTTTGAAAATATTATTCTGCTAATTAAAAGTTAAGGGTAGCAAATGCATTTTATGGAAAAACTTCCAAAACAGATTTATCTTTTAACCTAAATTTCTTTATTTACTTTTGACTAAAATATTAAATTTCACTCGTATAACCTTAATAAACAAACACAAACACACATACAAATATCACACTCCCTCCGCTTGTTACTATAAAACTTAGTTTGATATTTAATTTAGTCTTAAGTATAAGATTTCATTCCATTTTATTCCTTATATTTATCTATTTATTTTCAAGGTATTCCTTACAGTAGTTGTATATTTTAAATGTTTCATTAAATAATAGTTATACCTAATATATGTGATTAGTAAGGATATTTTATGACAGACAACTCTTATTTATCATAAATACCTAACATAACTAATTTTTTAATTTAGTCAAATTAATCAATTAACTCTTATATATATTAATAACATGAGGACATATTAATTAAGCAAACACATACATGTAAGGAATCAAACTATAGTATATATAAAAATTTAAGGAGACGCATTGTTTGCGAACTCTAAATATTGCACTTCTCATTTTATATTTCATTCAGAATTTATGAGGCAGTATTTAGGTTATACTGCCTCCAATCCTTAATATAAGAGTTAATTGACTAATTAGAGTAGATTAAAAAAACTAGTTAAGTTAGTTATTTGTAATTAATGAGTATTATTTTTCCTAAAATATCTTTACTAATCAAATATATTTGTTATAACTACCATTATTACAAGAACTATTTTGGAAAAAAATAAATATGAGAGATAAAGTAGATTGGAATCTCATATTTAGGATTAAAATAAAAATTACAAACTCTTAGATTAAGAACAAGAGGTAATATACAATATATAAGTTTCGGCACAGTGTTGGTTTCATTGAGATTTCGCCATAACTCTCACATTAATTAGTTTGACAAATAAATATTTGTTTAGCATCTACTAAATCTTACACAAGGATTAAAATAAAATTATACTGCCTCCATTTTTTATTATAAAACCTTATTTAACTTTTAATTAGGTCCTAAATATAATACTTCAATCCACTTTATTTTTTATATTTATTTTTTTTAAATGGTCATTGGACTAGTTGCACATGTTAATTTTAGCTAATATATATTATTAGCAAGGGTATTCTAATAAAAACAACACTTATTTATTATAAAAAATAATTTCATTAATTTTTTAATCTTTTTAAATTTGTTAATTAGATTTTATATTAAGGACCAGAAGAGGTGGTAAAAAATAATTATTCATTAATCTGCTATTAATTAAATGTATAAAAAAGTTAAAAAAGGGTTCAATATACAGTGGATGGTGGATCCCGTTCACGATTCTTTTCACACCTAAAATTTCACACTCGAAAGTTCAAACCTCTAATCACTTTCCACGTAGGACGCCCTCTCATCCTACGTGGTAAATTAGGTTTGACTCCTTCTCTCCTCTCCCCTCAATCTTCTCTCTCCTGTGTAGGTATATAAGTATATCCCTCATCTCTTTGCAGTTACCGAAACCTCATTAATCTCTCTCGAGCTTCAGCAAATTCCCGCTGAAAGCCCAGAGCATTGCGAGATCCATCCAACAATGGGAAATTGCCTGAAGCCTCAATCCTCGAAGAAACGCGTCTACGACGACGAATCCGACGACGGCGAGGATTGGAGTTGGCCGACGCCGTCTCCGGCGGCGGAGAGAGGAACAAAGGGAGGTTATTCAGCTAAGAACGTCGGGGATTTCTCCGGTAAGATAACGGAGGTGAAGATCAAGATCTCGAAGAAGCAGCTGGAGCAACTGCTGAGTAAAATGGAGGTGAAGGAGCTGGGGGTGGATCAAGTGATGACGCAGTTAATGAGCCACGGAAAACGCCATGGATATGAGGTTTATCAGCATCAACGATCATGGAGGCCTGCTCTGCAGAGTATTCCAGAGGTGAATTGAGAGCTTTTAGGGCTAGATTTTGAAGCAGACGAGGTGGAGAGAATTGGCCTGTGAGGTCAATCCTGCTTCTTCTCCTTCTTCTTCTTGGTTCTCATTTCTTGTGTATTTCGGTGGTCCCTTCAGATTTTGGTTTGTGTATATATGAAATTGGGGATCCTATTTCGCCTGTGATAGATTTTTGGTCTCCCTCCTTGTCTTGTACACTACTGGATTTGAAATCTTCTTCTCTGAACCTTTTCCCTCTTCTGTGAAACTGAATGATCTGAAAATTTACGCAGGGGATACCGGGATGAACACTTGAGCAGTGATCATATCAGCCAAATATAAATAACTAAAGAGAGATCTCTGTTTTCACTATGAAATTTAATCAATCCTATGCACAGAAGGACGATTTATCTCTTTGTGATCATCTTCCGTTCATTAATATAAGATTTATTTAACTAATTTGTTTATATTAAGAAAGTTAGGTAAGTTAGTTAATTATAAAAATGTGACACGTTTTTTCCTAAAATACTATAATCCTCTTTCTTAATACCCTCTCTTCCTCTTCTACTTGATTATGATTGAGGGAGTATCTATAGGAGTAATTTAGAGAAAACTGATAAATATGAGAAATAGGTTTTATATTTAGGACTAAAACCAACTCAACAATTGGGCCTTATATTAAGGACCGGAGGAGTAGATTCGAAAGTTTAAAAATAATTAATATATCACATAAAATTTTTAAAAGAGTATTTTAAAACTTAAAAATAATTTCACCCACCTAAGTTTAATATGTGAGTCTGAATAGAAACTACTGTAGTGTGGGTTATTATTGGACTCGTGGGTGAAAAGTATGTGAAATTATTATTATTTTTTTTAAATGACTATGGTGTGAAATCGGTGTGATCTATGGTGTGAAATCGGTGTGATCTTTGAAAACTTTGTTAAAAGAAGAGAAAGAAGATGTCAGAATTAAAGCTCCCTTTCAACCAGCAATATTAATAATGATTTTGAGATGGTTCCCAAAATGGGCCATCCTCACTTTAGGTAGTGTGATGCATGGCATAAAATATAACAGGCACTATACTTTTGATCCAAAGTAGAAGAATTAAAAAGCTTGTCTTATTTATTTATTTATTTATTGTCATAAAAAAGCTTGTCAACAACTAGTTGCTCCAAAGGTAATGTCACCTGTTATGCTTAGATGAGGTATTAGATTTGAACTTGGCATTAACATGTTTGTCTGTGAGCATATCATAAAAACCAAATAAAGGTATGAAAATAGATATTTAGCTCGGGAAAAAAATGAATTTAAGAATTATTGCCAAATAATTGTTTATGTAATGATAAGGTTTTTTTGCCTTGAAATACATGCCCCAAAAAGAATAACAAAGTGTATAAGATAACTTTTAATTAGTACTATCAATATAAAATGTATAAAGTTGTCATGCTGTCTATAAATTATACATAACAAAAATGCATTTTTAAAAAAATTCTATATATGTAATGTAAATACAATAGCACATATATATGTAATGACAATTTTGTGATTCATATCTAAGTCTTAGATTACTAATATGAGAATTTTATTAGTGGATAATTTATATTTGTGTTACCGCTTTTGAAATATTAAAAACTAAAAAGTATGTTTTAATCTCAGTAGGCTTATGAAAACTACCTCATTTAAACTTTTTAGTATTTATTTAAGATGGTAAGTGATCTCACAAGGAGGAGAACACAAGTTCAAATTTCAGGAAACATGCATGTAGGGAGGATTTTAATTTTAACACTACTGATTCGACAGAGATTAGTTTGAAGTCTAAAATAATTGAAGATACTCTGAATTTACACAAAAAAAAATATTTATTTAAGATCTATTATACGTAACACAGTACAGATTATTACAAACTGTATTATTTGTAAATCAGGTGCCGTTTAACTAATTTCTTAATTTCATGTAATATAAGAGACTTACAATATTTTATTAAAAAAATGTAAAGTCTCAAGCTAAATCTACAGGTGATTATGACGAAAGAAACAAGGTTTATTAATTAATTAAATTAGGAATAACAAGTATAATTGTAATTTGTAAAACAGCCGACCCTTCTAAAAAAAAAAAGAAACTTTGTTGTACGAACCCGTGAACCATAAGACTCGTGACTACTGTTTATTGACATTACTTGAAACTCAATTTTCATCATTTTCGTTGACCATTTTAAAAAAAAACAAACAAGATTCATCATTTTCTCTAAAATCTTGGGGGGAAATGCTTGTTTCCAAGCAACTTCAATAAATTAAATTTCTCAACGTTTTCATTTATTTATTTTTCTTTTCTTTTCAACGCGCACGCACGCGCGCGCACACATGAATTCATTGGCTTGTGCCATCACTATCACGATTCGGCATTGAGAAGTAAATTAACATCTCATTTATTGTAATCATATTTCATGGAGCAGACAGTTAGGAATATTTCAGCAGTCAATTGCCGGCCTCTCTCTTGCAAAACCCATAAACTTCATTTCAGATCCTCTGGATGAAGTCTGAAAAGTTGTCATGGTTTGCTTTTCAAAATATATATCATTTATAATTCATAATATAATTTGTTAGAATTTTCACATCATATAATAGGTTTGAAATTTGCACCAAGTAGTAATGTTCTGAAGTTCTAAGTAGTACTCCCTCCGTTCCTTATTATAAGAGACGAATAACCGAATTACGTTGATCAAAAAAATAGTTAAAATTAGTTAAGAACAATCAATGTGTAAAAAGTATAATTTCTTTTCCAAAAATACCCTCATTAATAAGGAGAGAGAACATGAGAGAGAACAATAGTAAATTATTAAAAGAAAGAGAAGTGAGAAGGAGAGAGAGTGTGAGTTGGAGACAATAAATATGGGTAAAATAGGAAATCAACACAAAAAAGTAGAGACAACTTTTAAGTGTCTCTTATATATAGGAACATGCCATAAGCATCAAATGTCTCTTATAATAAGGAACGGAGGGAGTAATATTTTTTTAAAACTTGAATTGGACGTCTGCTCTGCATAGTGGTGCAACTCTTTTTTAACTGTAAAAATCATTTTTTTTAACCATACGCAACTGAAGAAAAATTGCAAATGCTAAAAATAAGTTGCACTCAAATATCTTTAAATAAATTTCAGATATCTTGGCATGATAAGTATTTCCATGAGAAGTTTTTTCAGCATTTTCCCAATTTTTTTAATTTAATATTTGATAAATATTATAAGCTAATCTTTACAAGTAAAATCCTTCACATAAAGATTTATTAAAGTATTTTTTTTAAAGTTCATATAAATAAATTATGATAGCAAAAACATTTTTTGACAATCAATTAGATTAGGGTCAAATTGGGCCCAAAGTGCATTGACCTTGACAAGCCCAAGTTTTAACATTTGCTCGTTGGGCTGGAATATACAAACAAATAATCATCCAAATATTTTCACATTCTCGAGGCTTATAAACAATCTAATCTTCTCGCAAAGAGGGGAAAAACAACAAAGAAAAGAAGGGGCAAAAAAAAAAAAAAAAAAAGAAGTAAAGCGCACACAAATTCAACCTTTTCCCCCTTGGATGAGGAAAACACATTATTTTGTAATTCAATGAGCTCTGAATAACACGTTTGCAGGAAAGAGTAATATGGCGGCGAGTCAGGTACTGCACATTCATAAGTTACAACAGTACATGAAGAGGCCAAATCAAGTGAGGTCATTATCTGTGAATTTGTATCCCACAAGAGCAACTATTATACATCATCTTCTTCATCATCATCTATACTCTTGAAAGTTAACATGACCAGTTGCTTGTGCATGCTCCACTGCCTCCTGTTGACGTATATATTCACAATGAAAACCAGTGCTTAGAAATGAAGAAACAAACACAGGTCTGGGAATCATGTCAGTACCTTCTGACCAACTACGCCAATTTGGCATATCCCGCAGCGGAGTGTGAAGCTGGCCGTGTCGGTATAGCTTCGTTTCCTGGACAACAGCGGTGAATTGAAAAACAAGTATTAGCTAAAATATTCTTGTATCTGGTATGTATGATGTTTGAAGTTGTTAAAGAAAGAATATTACGGGTAGTTTACAGAAATCCAGAACAAAACTGCCATTGATGATTGAACAACCCGAAGAAAATGTAGATTTTTATATTTTCAATTATTTGAATACCATGATATCCACATCTTTCCAGTATACAAGATTCTTTTGACATGAAGGGTTGTTTGGCTATTGCCAAAAGCACTTCCAAAAAGCACTTTTCCACAAAACGAAACAAACTCCTTCACATATTTGCTTCGTAGACCATAAAAACACTTTTGAAACCATAATTTGATTTCTATCCAAACACCCCCGAAGTCTCTGTAAGAATGAGAGACAAACCTTTGTTGGTCCTTAACAAAATCAAGAGCAAGCCTCTCAACAGGTCCAATGCTTCTGTCTTTCTGTACAGCGAATATGGTCTGATCAAACTCCTCAGGGGCACCCTCAAAGGGAGACATCTGGCCCATACAAAGCATAATTGTCAGAAACCATAGAAATACCCACCCATTATGCTTTTGTTGGAGAAACTCATAGCAAGCATTTTGATAATAAAACCTAAGTGTGTACTAATTCAAAATAGGTTTTAACACCTGCCAACAAATAAAAATAAGGAAACAAAAGATGTGTTCGCATGAAATGACGTACAGCTAATGCATCGTAATGGAGACCATCATAAATCAGCATGACCCTTTCAGAATATTTTCTCTCCTGTCATAAGTATCCACAGAAGATAATGAAAATTTGTTATAGGAAGTTCCTTGGAAGGATGTTGACTGAGAATGAAAGGCTAACCTGACCATACACATCGCATCGTGTCGTTTGAATATCATATGCTGCAATTTCACGTCCATAATAATCTGCTAATATTGAGAGCTCAATGGCACCTTCACAAAGGGAAGCAAAGTGGCCAAATTAGCAACTGAAATACTGGCAAATTCATGGTATTAATACACTAAACTTTAAAATGTAAACAGGAATTTATATTAATCTCTTCATCTGCAAAATATGGACCCTAATATTTTCATCATAACCCAAGGGCCAAAAATGCCACACCTGAAGTTTACAGAGCTTTTAACTTGATATCCAAACATATGGGTTACTATGACATTTGATATTCATTGGCTTTCAGGAAAAAACCACCAATCTCATGAATTTAAACTGATAGATGTAATGCTGCAAAAGTCCGAAAACTATTCTTCCAGAAATCATAATATTTCCGTATGCCCAGACTAAATATTTCCAATCATAATATTGATCGATAATCTTTTAATAGGGATACAGTGTTGAAAAGGGAAAAATAAAAACCTTACTACAACATCATCTTTGAAATCATAATGAATGTTACCACACATTTTCACATAAAGCTTTTCCAAAGAAATTCTAGGTGAAATTTCCAAAATGCCCGAGAGAAACTACAAACTTTTAACAACACTCCAATAGTCTTCTTTTCTCTGGAGGGAAAAAGCCTGAATTATTGCTATTTTTTAAACTAGCCTTCACAACATATATCCCATTGATGACCATTTCCCTTGACAACCATTATAAAAATGAAAGCAATAAAATGCATACAGAACATCAAATTCTGTACTTCAACTAGTAAGGGGATACTATAAGACATAAAATGGATAATCGTGTGGATATCAATAGTTTAGAATTAAGAAACCGTGATTTGGAAGGCCTGGCTGAACTAACCTCCCCACTTCTCTGAGTCAAGGATCCAGGCACAATAGTCTGCATTTGGCTTTCCAAGAAATGCTTCAGAATATTTCCCTGGATCACTTGCTACTGTTGCAGCTATAACCTTTGGCATGTTAAACATCACAAACGGTTAAGGTAAAATTACACATCTATAAAAGACATCAGCTATGTGCTCGAAGCAAACGGAAAGTTATAAGACAGTATAGGGGTTCTACTTTACCAGTTGTAGCTCCTATGTTGGACATGTATTTTCTCTCAATCCAAATAATTACAATGGTTGCTTCCTTTTGATGGTTAAAACTTCTTTTAAAGGGGTGTTCATGCCATGACTAACATGGCGATATGGCTGGGCATAGAACTGTCAAAATCTAAACTCATACTATTCTAACTACTAAATTTTTCGTCCCTTGACCAATCCAAAAGTGCATCAGGGACTTCTGATAGATAGGAACAAAATCTGAAGTTCCATTATGAAGTTAAGTCTCAAATAGGAATTTTTTTTCTTGGAAAAAAAAAAAGGATAGTGCAGCTTGGACTAGCATGAGTTATATCAACTGCAATAAGGTCCTACGTGCATTTATACACGTACTGCACCAAGAAGACTCTCCAAGTACAAGTAAAATTCACGGATATAGATGGCAAAGAACAACCATATCTACTTGTTTCCTTCATCCTTGAATAAAAATTAATCATCAGTTTCTTTTATTTTTCCTTCCATCCTGTTTTAATATAAATGTCTAGATGTAAAAGTTGTCCCACAAATAACAAAACAAAACTTTGTATTGATCTTTGGATTTTGGAAACCAGTCCAGAATGATGCCAAGCCAAGCACGGTACTATACAATCAACAGCTAAAGAAGCGTAAGAGAAAACATTTCAAGGGCAAGATGAAAAAGATTCAAATATTTCCATGACATTTACTATGCATATTTGTAGCAAATATAAAGCATGAAAACATTACCTGTCTCAACTCAGAAGCTTTAGTTTTATCATGATCCATAACATACCTAAAATGGAATGAACATAGAGAATAGCTTAATCGGACTATAAGCGGCACCATTGCTAGCAATATTGCATATTAAAGACCAACAAAACGAAAGACTTTCGCCCAAGAGCTTACCCTATTGCATTGAAGAGGCAACTATTATCCGAGGGAATTACTCTTCTCACAATAATACCCTCCATGATCTAGCCAAGCCTGCAGATATTCAAAGCCGTCGTTCAAAATTTGGGCGTCAAAACAAGTCATGCAATCATCAATATAATATAAAATATAAAATCAATAATAAGCCACACTATTTACAAGCCATAAGGAGTGTTGCTCTTTCTTTATCCCTAGGGGAAAAACAAAAGAGTAAGAACTCATCACCACCACCGTCTACATCATCATCATCATCATGAAAGACTAAATCATATCTCTAAGCACAAAAACAGTACACCAAGCTTGTTGTGCCATCAATGTTCTCAAGCTAAGAAACCAATCTGACTCATAGAATTTTAAGTATTGCTGACAAACATTGGAATCTAATCCCCGCAGGGCAAAAGCCCTTGTAATAATAAAAAGAGTGAATCTAACATCTTCCAATAATATGGCTTCCATCATTCTTTATCCTCCACACGACGAACTTACGATGCCTTTTTATTAGTTGTGAGCTTAAATAAGAAATAAACAAGACTAGAATCCACAATTTATCAGCGTGCCACAAATAAGGTTCAGATTCTCCCTAGAAGCCATCTCTAAGAGCAGGAGGATATCGCTATCTCACAACCACAGCTGCAGAAAATCCAACCAGAAAACTCGGAGAGAAAACACATTCAAAAATTCAATATAGAATGAAAGGAAGAAGAAAAATAAAACAAAAACAAAGTAAATTACAGGTCAGATTGATAAATCATACAATTAAGGAGAAGATGGAGCAGAATTTAGCCGGGAAAACCAGCCCCAATGCAAGAATTACGATATATAACCAAGTGCAGAGCTGCAAGACACCCAGAAGCCAAGTTTGAAACCGCTCAGAAGCATAAAATAAGAAGAAAGCAATTCCCAGAAAAAAATAGGGCCCAACGAAATTTCCAGATCTATAGTGGTCCAAGGGAATTGCTTTAAAAACAAGAATACCAAGTTATCTTTTTTCCGTTTCTTTTTTACCTGATAAACAATACCAACAATAAGGACTTTTTTAATTATTTCTTCAGAAACCAAAAAATACGAAGAATCAAGAATACCAACCAAGTAATCTTTTTTTCACGAAAGGAATATGTGTGTGTGTGTAGAGAGAGAGAGAGAGAGAAGATAATAGCATCTTACTCCTTTTGCTGTGTTCCAAAGCTTCGGAAGAAGATTGCTAAAGGCTAAAACTCTACAAAAAGTACCGAATAGGGGGTAGTGGGTATGAAGAAGGATGGTGATTGAAAATGGAAAGGCTTATGCCATCTGGTTATCTGTCTGCGTTTTGATATGCGTCACAGTTAATGCAGCCGACAGATGCCCCCTATTGGAGGCAGGATCGGCACCTTATCATCCCTCTCGGGGTGACTCTGCATAATCGTGTTGCATTTTTATCCCCCTGCGTCCAATTGGTACTGGGAATGTGTTAATGCTAATATCACTGTAATCCAAAAATTAGTTAAAATCAGTTTGAGATTGAAACCATAAATATGTGAATAAAGAAATACACTTTATTTTTTTAAAAAAATATATTCTTACATATTTATGAAAAAAATGAGTGGGCAGGGTGAGGGAGAATGAAAAAAATGAGAGAGAATAAATGAAAAATAAAAAAAAAGATATGTAGTTAATAGTAAGAAATAAAAAAATACATTAAATGTTTAAATATCTTTAAAGTATAGAGTAACATAGAGGAAGAAACACACTTATTATAAAAATCATGACTTCTAAAAAGGAATAAAGAGAGTAGTAAGGTAATAATCCTTCATTACGGTCCGGTCAAAAAAAAATAAATCCTTCATTACGGTTGGACGCATTTGAAATCTAAATTTAAAATCTAATATAAAAGAACAGATAATGTGTTTATTATGTATTTCAAACAATTTTTGGAATTTAATATCCTTGTTTAATGAGATGGGGATTTATTATACTGTATCCTTTTATTTTTATTTACGTATTTTTTATTGAAAAATAAAAGAACAGATCATACTTTATCCAATTTTTTTTTAAAAAGCATATTGTTGTTTTTCTGAATAGTATAATGATTAATATTAATATTAATATTAATATAAAACTAAAATTTTATGATTATTTAAAATAATGAATAGTGCAATGCTTATTAATTTTATTTGTGATTTTTTCCCCTTGCAGGCACGCTATAAGAGCTAATTTTTAATATTGGCGTTAAATTAAATCTGACTTCTCAGTTAAATAATGAGCCTCAAGGTCCTTTACAATAATTTTTCTCATATGCAAGTGTTCAAGAAATATAAAGAAAATAGACAATGCCAAGAAAAAAGAGAGGAAGAGTAATTGAAGACTAAACGAATTGGGTAGAATATGATGTAGAATTTAACCTCAAGGTAAACGAATTTAAATGAAATAAGAATTCAAAAAATAATAGTGACTAAAAAGTATTATATAAAAATTTCTTATTAATATAAAGGGTGATTTGTCATTAAATTCAGAGCATCACATGTACATTAAAAGAAGATTGTTTCATATAAATATAACGGAAGTTGGTTAATACCAGTGTTCTCATTTGGAGATTCAATATTAAATCTTAATTCGTGCATTCACCCATTTTATAAATTTATAAATTAAAATTTTATGTTAGGTTGATATTATTAAATTGTATTCAATTAAATTGGATTGAATGAAATCAAATGAAACTGAAATTAAAAAAAAAAGAGCATATGATGATAACAACATTTGTTTTTAATTAGGAGAGTTACTTGTCATGAATTTAAAAAACCACTTGTAACATTTTGCCAAAAAGACGAGGAAATGCATATATATACAGATATACTGCCACAATAGCTTACCCCAGTTATTATGTGTTTTAATAACTTTTTCATGACTTAGATAATTTCAATCTCAAAGATAGTCACAACATTTATTCAAAAATTTATACTAGAAATATATTTAAGACATTCATTAGAAATGTATAAAATATTGAAAGCAATTATTAAAAAGAAAAGAATAGCAAAATTTTGTCATATTAAATGACAAATTTATTAATCCAAAAGAGTTTAAAGTGTGTAAAGTAAAATTGCTTATGGATGTAAAGCACCACCCATTGCAACTATGATGGTTGGGAGCACACTAACAAACAGACGGGGAGACGAGGAGCAGGGACAGAATTTGTGCAAGGCCCATAGAGTTTTACCCTCAAATTTCCTCTAAAAGTTGAAAAAATTTTGGAGAAAAAACTAATTTCTCAAATTTACTTATTATTAATCTTCTCCTCTTCATAATGAAAATACTATGAGAAACCACTAATGTTAAAATTCTTAGGGTTATATATATGGGTGAAGTCACATATACAAATTTTTATTATCTTTTTTTTATATCAATATAATTTTCATATAAATTATAAATAAAATAAAAAGAGTTTGAGTTGTTCTAAAGGAAGTTTTATTTAGATTTAAATTTATTATGGTCATTGTTTTTATTTCAACCTTCTTTTTATTATTTTAATTTATGATCTAATACATTTTGCTTAATATTTTTATTTTAAAGCAAAATACAAGGAATAATTTATTTTAATTTAACTTTAGTTATTAGATGGTGTTATTTTTTCATTCGAATTTATTTTTCATGACATTGCTTAAAAACAAGTTAGAAATTAAATAGGAATATTATTGTCCCGGAAAGTGTCATGTTTTCTGTCCTCTCCATATTTTCTGCTTTATCCAAACACAATAGTTTGATGTATGATTAGTTAAAACAACTTGCATGATGTATTTTGCATCATTTTTAAAAAAATTAGTAAAATTGTAAGAAAAAGCCAGAAATTCTAAATATTATCAAACATAGGGACATGAGTTTTAAATTGAAAATCTCACTTTTATTTTATGTTTTTCTGGAGAGTACTTTTCTCTTACGGTTGGTCATTTTCAACACTACAACATTTTTCTTTATAACAACATTTTTTTTCATCTAACTACGAAAAACTGTTGGATATCTCTTTAGGCAATATTTTTAAACTATTGTATATTCTAGTGTTACTTGTAAGGGAACAATTCTAATTCTTAAGATATAAGTATGGGTATTTTGAATTTGGATCAAGTTGTAATTGTAACTCTAATTTTATTTTTCAGGTCGCTCTTGATTTGTTTTAATGCAACCTTACCCCTCAAAGATTGGGGCTAAAATGCTTTAAAAAAGTATTATGAATAAAATTGCACAAAAAAATTGAGGATAAAATTATAATACTTAAAAAATCAGAATGTTAAATGTATCTAAACAAAATAAGATCGTGAGTAAAATTATATATTTACCCTTTAAATTTTAAACAAGCATTTCCACAATAACATAAAAATAGTGATCGATAGTGGTAGTGACATTAAAAGCCAATGGGTCTGTTTGGGTCAGCTGACCCAAAAGCACCTTAAATTATAATATAAGCTGGGTTGAACAATAAAGTCTGTTTGGGAGAGCTTAATTCCTATTGGGCTTATTTATTTTTTAGACTACTGAACGCTCAATGAAAATAAGCTCCTGACAGGAGCTGATCAATTACTTAAGAAGAGCTTTTACCAAATTTTAGCCGTTGTGCGTGTCAGGAGCTTATTAATTTTTTTTCTCTTAGCCGTTACGCGTGTCAGAAGCCAATTTGTGCGTGTCAGGAGGTTATCAATATTATCTCAATTCTTTTTTTTATGTTTCAATTTATATTTAAAATATTTTTTATGATTTCTTTAAAATTTTAAAATTTAATTCACTCATTAAATTTATTTCTTCATATTAAATCATTTTAATTTCATTATATTATGTGAAATCAATTTTTTTTCATGTTTCATTATTTATTAAAATTCATACCCATTTTGGTAATTTTTCAACTAAACTTACTTGTACTTAATTATAATCCAAACAAGCTTTTACCAATTTTACTTTTGCAAACTAACTTTTCTGAATTCCAATTCAAACACAATTCAACTTATCCAATTTAACTTTTACCAACTTCACTTTTTCATAAACTATTTTTTTTATAAACTACTTTTCCAATCGCTGATCTAAACGAGTACAATGACAGTAGTCGCATCGGTGGATGGTAGTAGTAACGGCTGATGGCGGTGTTGGTGGAATTAGTGGTGACTGATGACATTGGCATTGGTCACCGGTGGTACCATGGCAGGCGGCTGCTGATGATAATAGCCATGATAGCCGCTGATGCTAGTGATGCGACGGCGACAACATCAATCGGTGTAGATGGTGTTTAGTGGCGATAGTTTTGGTACGTGACGAGCTGGTTAATTTGGATAAATACTATTACTTCTGATGTTTAATATAAAATTTTATTTAATTTTTATTTTAATCTTAAATATAAAACTCTTAAGTTATTTTGCCTTTTATATTTATATATATTTTTAATATAAAATCTCGCTTGACTTTTATATTGATAATAAATATAAGACTCTTTATCCATTTTACCTCCTGTATTTATATATTTTTTTAATATAATCTTTCTAATAATAGTAGTGCTAGCTAATATATTTAATTAGCAAAAATGTTTCTGAAAAGACAGTACTTATTTATTTCAAATAACTAATTTAACTTATTTTTTTAATTATTTAAATTAGTCAACTAATTTTTATATTTAGAACATAAAGTAATACTGTAATAAAATTTTATCGGACCATATATGACTACTATAAGACTATAAGCCGTATCGGCTCATCAATCATTTTAACGTACAAAGAGTACCATGACGTATCGGCTTATGCAACACATTACTCGCAAAGGTAATAAACCCATACTGCATTGTATTAGAGCTCATACTATCACGTCTTGTGCCAAATGGATTACGGAATCTAACACCGCCCAAGTGATTCAAAATTGCAAATCCAGAAACAAGAATTATCTCCATAATGATAACAGCATCATCATCCAAGGGGAACCCCGGGGGGGGGGGGAGAGAAACCATGAAACCAAAGTAAAACTTCAATTCTTGAACTGCATTACTAAAGCCGCCAAAGGGGTACAATAGTGCAAATCCACAAACATGAATTATTTCCATAATGGTAAGCATCATCATCATCATCATCCAAGGGGAACAAACCATGAAGCAAAAGACAGACTTCAATTATTGGACTGCATTATTCGAGCCAGCCACTTGTTTGAAAAACAAGGTTACGTTCATAGTGCTGCTATGCACTCAATTTCAATCTTGGCACCTAATGGCAAGGCAGCTACTTGATATGTTGAGCGAGCTGGGGCGGGCGAAGAGAAGTCTGTAAACATTACAATTACATGGAAGTGATGATCACTGAAGCCACTGATGCATGAAAATACTAACAAATTA